GGGGCTCTATCAAGGGCAGTGCTCAAGTGGTGGTCTACTGCTTCTGCGGTGCCTCCAAAGAAGATTCGGCCTGTTGTACCACGTTCTAGGGCTTTAGCAGTTGCTGAGATGAAGTGTTGCTGTATATTTGGGAGGGGGGGGATTGGGCGTCCTCCCCCCCTTCCCAGGCCCCTTCTCAGGGGCGTAGGCGAGGCCGGAGGTCTCCTTGGAGGAGTCTCCATGGAAGGAATTTAGCTTATTAAGCGAGAGTAAGAGAGATTGAGCGTTTTAGAACAAAAAATTCAATCTACGAAAAAAGGTGATGGTGAGTAGATCTACCTAAACGTATATTACGCGTAACCGAAGTATGAGTTATATAACGTATCCCTTGCTCTATAACACCTTAGAAACTAGTATATAGAACGTCCTAATTAGGTTTAGTAAGTAGTTTACTTGAATTTGAGTAGCAAGAGTTGGCGAGAGTACTAAGTCCATACCTAATTAGGACGTTCTCCCTACCGGTTTCTAAGGTGTTACGGACTATGGGATAATATACGTATTACATAAAATAACAATCTTTCTACATATATTTCCGAGTAATCGGCTTAACCTCACAATCCATACTTATAGCTAGTATCCAGTAGTCAAACAAATATCAAAGATTTGGTGTGTCTTAGTGGTGCTATAATAATAGAATAGCACCATCCATCTAAATGTTGAGCAGCGACACCAAAACAGCTGAGCTGAAGTCGCCGCATTTAGTTCTGCTCTGGAAACTTAGGGTCGAGAAGGTTTAGTCCAAGGGCAATTCGCGAACTGCCAGTCGTGAAAAGGAACGAGGACAAGAACTAGCTAAGTAATAATTACCCATTAGTGAAGGATATATACAAGCTAGGGGGGCGGAATGCGGGATCTAAAGGGGCAGAACTACTACCACTTCCTTTAAATACTTGCCTACCATCTCAAACTTGCCTACAATCTCAAAAAGAGGGAGTTTTTGTAATTGTGGAACTGAACATAATCGTATTGAGAATTTCACGTAAAAGAAAAACACGTAAACAGCGTTTCTGTTGCCGCAACCCATGCCCTCTCCATCCCTATGAATAATACAATTTCCACCCATTCATACCCCAAAGCTGTCTCTAAACGAAGAAAGCCAATCCCAGAGCAGAAACAAGACTGACACCAACACAAGCCCATCCAGTCTTGATAACAGTCAGTTTGCCGAATCCCACAGCAGAATCCCAAGCCAAATGTCTGATCCCGTTGAAGGAGTGGAAAGTAAATGGCAACGCGACGAGAAACTTGGCGCATACTTTTGCTAAGAGGGGCCTGTTCTAATTAATGCCAGTCCAAGGGATATAAACGTATAGGAACTCACCAAGCCCCAAATGAAGCAGCCATCGCCGCTGAACTCAAGTCCCATCCTAACACTGGCGCAACCAAGTACGCGCTTCCGAAGATGTAGAATCCACCGCTGAGAATACTACCAGTTATACGATGTGTAATCGATAGGATCCATGGGATTTGTGGTTGGTAGATGGCGAGATGTGGGGATACGGGCCGGTTTTTTCGTTGCTCTACTAGGATCTTATATGAGTCGGCGGGTGTGAGGCCAGGAGATGTTGCTGCATGGCTTGAAGGGGGGTTAGTTATGTATAGCGCAGAGGGGGGTGTGATATGGGGGGGCGTACCGATTCTGAATCTTGGAGATTGATAGAGGTGCGATGGCGAATTTTGAAAGGGCAAGCTGTTGTGAGGAACCATAACCACCTGCTGCTACTATCGCCCAGTACGTTAGCATATATCCTCATACATACTCATATATACCCTCGTTGCTTCTGTGATCGTCTGCCCCTCGTATAGTCGCCAAGTCTGCTATATGCCGTCCCACATTTCTTCAGGCTTGAGCTGGGGCGCCTACCTCTTCGCAGCGATTGCTGAATCGTTCTCTGTGCCAACATCCTGGATATAGCGTCTTGCGTAGCGTAATGGAGTGGGAATTCTGTATATCTTCCTTTCGTAGGGGTAGAAGGCGAGCTGACAATGACGTTGGTGATACTCTCGTCGCAAAGGTCGTCGTCGTCAATCAACGGCGGAACTAATCGGCCACGCCAAGCTTTAGTAGCAAAAAACTCCCTCGGCATTGCCCTCCAATCAGATGTCGCCAATTCCTCATCCCCGCGCCACTCTTAGTCACATGATGCGATTATTACATAATCACCATCCCCCCATACAAAATCGAAATTTCTCATCGCGAAACGTCTTTCCTCTCCAATTATCACGAACATCTCCAAAACCCACAACCCACTCTAACCTTTATGGTGGTAGTAAGGCATCTCTCATAATGACTAGCTGGTGGCGTTTTGTCATCGGTATTGGTTGTTTTTCACTTTTGGGTGTTCGGAGAGGAAAGGATCTGTCGTTAATCTCGACCTCCGCTGTGGAAAGATGGCGAGGTCGTTTCATTTTATGATCTACATTGTTTTTGACGGAACTCATCTGAAGGACAGGGTGGTGCTTGCTTGAAAAGGGGATGAGTGGGATGTTGATGCGGTTGTCGGATTCTTCGCGATCGTGCCATTATACGATGTTGGTTAAGGAGGGGCCGATTCGGTTGGTTGGTTGGTAGGTTGGCAATCAAGTGTAGTGAGTAGCGACAGCCCTTGGGATTCAAGCCTCGATGAAGATGCTCTGTTACCACTTACATGGCGGGCATGCATCTCTCCGAATCCCGCAGATGGACTGATGTAACACCACATGGCCTGTAAAATCAACAAAAGCATGGATGGTCGGTCAGTATCTACCTATGTACCTCGCCGTGTATCTACCTGTATGCAAGGACTAAGTCTTATCACCTCTCCTTCGTTTGACCTGCCTAATTGCTTCCTTCTTGACTTATATAAACACTTCCAATCCTCACCTACATCCTAACCCCACCAACAACCACAATGACCAGTAGTCCAACTGTAATATTCGGCGCCGGAGGCATTGGCCACCCCGAGAAATCCTTCACCTTTACCTGGGAAACACCAGAAGCCGTCTCAGAACTATTATCTACACTGCAAAGTCTCGACATTCACGAGCTTGACTCCTCTGCACCATATCCACCCGGCAATGCATGGCATACAGAAACACTCCTGGGCGAAGCGAAAGCTGTAGAGAAGGGTTTCATCATCGACTCCAAAGTCTTGAAGTACGGTCCGCTGACTGAAGAGAACATAACTTCTAGTGTCGATAGAACGCTCAGTCTTCTTGGGGGTAGCAAGATTCGGCTTTTATACGCTCATGAACCGGATGCCACGACACCTCTTGAGGAAACTGCTGCGGCGCTTGATAAGTAATTTCGAAGAGGAAAGTTTGAAAGGGTGGGTTTTGATCAAGAATGGGGTAAGAAGACAGAATGCTGACAAGTTTAAAGATAGGTCTTTCAAATTATTCAGTCCAGCAGGTAGCTCGCTACTTTGAGATCTGTGATCAGAAGGGGTTCGTTCGACCTTCGGTTTATCAAGGTCATTACAATGCTCTTATTCGCGGGCACGAGGAGACTCTCATGCCGCTCTTGCGTAAGCATGGTGTTGCATATTATGCCTTCAGGTTAGTGCCCCTTGCTTTCCTTAATACTCGGTACCCCTTGGTATTAACGAATAACCTGACAACATAATCCCATCAGTCCACTCGGCGGAGGTTTCCTCACAGGAAAAGTAACATTCGCAACCTAACCTCTCACACGCACACGTTTCGCAGGCGAAAGCACACAGCAATACTTCCTGAACACCTTCAACAAGCCTGAAATCCACGATAAGCTGCGGACTTTGAATCCATCGTGTCAGCAATTAGGCGTGTCACTCAGCGAAGTTTGTTTTAAGGTGGTTAATGTATCATTCCTCTCTGGGAGGTGACGATGCGATTACTCTGGGTGCGAAAAGGTTGGATCAACTTGAGGCCAATGTTGGAGATTGTAGGAAATGACCTTTTATCACAGGATCTGTTGAGGGCTGTGGAGGGGATATCTAGTGGTGGGTTGGTGCATGAGGGGAGTTGGAATTAGAGGGGAGGATGGAATATCTCTATAAACGTATTCAACGATAACCATAAATAAGCCACAGAACCTTTGACCTTTCATTGTCAGTCCACGTTTGCAGAGCGATTTGAGTGCTGTTTGCTTTTTCCCTTTTCCAAAAGTTTGAAGAGATTCAAGAAGCTATTATATACTTTTAGAAGAATAGAGATACAGTCGAATTCGATATAAGCCTCAATCCCCGAATTTGCCCTTTGCTTTTTTGGAAATCCGTGCGTATCTGCTAGCAGCCGTACTAATCAATAACAGCTTTTGAAATATTTAGCAAACACTACCTATTCCTTTGTATTTGTGATTTTCTCTAGGTCTGGAATAACTACTCTATAATTTCTATTCAAGGTAAACCGCTCTAGTTCTTTAGGCTATAAGTAGAAATGTTTTAAGTAAATTAATATTAAATTCCATCACTCACTTCTCTTGTGATATCTGGATACGCTCTTAATATCCCATTCAGTTATACCAACCACCCCAAACCAAGGAAAAAATATATAAAGTGGTCCGCAAAGTGGGTGGAATCAAGAATGTATTCAGAGGTGTAGAATACCTAGCTAAACCCTGGATATCAATAAATAGTCTATCCACAATCCATAAGGATGTGATAGATCCCGGCTATTCACCGAATGTGCTTACCCAGTAATTGGGTACCGCGTTTCCAACACCGGGCCTATGTATACCTTCCGAGCATGCAGAATATAGTAGGCAATTGCAAAAAGTACCACCGCGCCCCCCATCAAACTGCTATAATTCATCGTCGCGGCCACCACAGGTGTAGCTGATGGCCAGAAGCTGAAGAACAAGACAATGGTAAGGTAGATGCATGCGAAAGCATTGTTGGCAATGCCAAAGACTCCACGGAGACGCCATGGGCCCCAGACTAATGGTGCATTAACGGTATTGACCATATCCATAGGGGAGTCCGAGGAGAGCCTGATAGCGCCTGTGCAGCGCCTGTATAAGAGGAGGCTAGCCGCCAGTAAATAAGATGTAAATAGTCCGACAACGGTCAAAGAGACGAAGACGTTGAAAGCTGTTGCTGAGCCGATAGTAATCAGGGCAAGGAGGAAAGAGATTGTCATGGTTACTGCGACAGACCAGATGGGCACGGATGTTCGCTTGTCAATCTAAAATCAGGGTTAGCGAGTAGATACGGAGAACGCAAGGGCTGGTGATTACCTGTTGAAGTTTCCGCCATCCAGGTAGCCCTCTATCTCTGGCAAAAGACCAGAACATGCGGGATGTTGAGGCTAATAATCCGACCGTAGCAGAGAGAGAAAGTACGATGATTAGTGAAGCCATGGCAGCGCTTCCCGCCCTCGAGTGCGTTGCTTGCAAGAAAATCTCCATGAACGGATATCCCGTGTTTGTTGCAAGTACGACGTCGATGTCGCCTATACAAAACAAGAATGTCAAAATCATTGCGAATCCCGTCACTCCATTGAGAACAATGGTTAGCATTACCGACCGTGGTACAACGACTGAAGGATTGTGTATCTCTTCGGACATCTACTTCACTGTTAGTAATATCCTAGTGCAAGAGCAATAACTCAAGCTAGATATCTTACATGAAAAGCTGCGTCAGCACCCAGGAAGCCATAAGCGGGTCCCAAAAGTCCAACGAAGAAGGACAGTCCTTGAGTTGGCCATCCTCCATCGTTGTTAAAACTTGTAAAGACATACGACGGCTCGCTATGCTTTCCTAGCACAACCAGTGGAATCATTATACCAAAGAATCCAAGTATGTGAAGGATCAATATCAAGCCTTCAAACTTTGGCAGCAGACCACTGACAACCGTGTTGATGAACACTGCAAAAAACAATACGGCCCAGAATAGTAAAGTGCCATGCCATCCTTGGGGCGAGTAGTCGGTGACCGTAAGCGCAATTACGCCTTGAATCATTGTTCCCGTTAAATATGAGGCTGAAGCAACGCCCGCCTGCCATCCGCCAACAGTGAGCCAACCGGTAATATAGCTGAGGAACTTCGATGACGAAGGGGATGCAAGCATTGAAACCCACTGCAATGAATTAGCAACAAAACTTTCACTTTAAATACAGAGAGATGTGTAATTAGTTGGGATTCCCTCCGGCTATTGAGGATGGGACGTGAGATTGAGGCAAAATGAAACAGTTTCTTACGTGGTACTGTCCACCGGAAGTAGGTGCCATGGAGACTAGTTCAGACAGCGCAGCGAACGTGCTTAGTGTTCCAGCCCAGACAAGAAGAAATCCATAAACCATTCCCGCTGGACCACCATTTGTATATCCCGAGGCAAACAGAATCAGTGTTGCTTCCCAGGTGACCAAAACGGTGCAACTAAATCCAAGAATTGACATGAAACCAAAGCTTCGCTAAACACAAGGTTATCACTCAGCCCTCGTTTGTCTACAGAAAGATGCAGGTATACCTTTAGAACTGGCTGTTTTCCCAAACGGATTAGAGCGCTGTTGTCTCTATCGATATTAATCCCACGGGTCTCGAAAAGGGACTGCCCTTTGCCCGTGGCATCAAACTCGTGAGTCTCCATAGCAATCTTTAAAGAATAGTCCCTGGGCTAATTGTTGAAAAAGATGCTCTGTTTCACAATATAGAAAAGAACGCTCAGGAGCAGGAGTAAAGCAAAAAGAAAACGGGACAAGACACGTACTTGCAGAAAACCCACGATTGACTGATGCTTCAATAATTACCTTATGCAGGAGAAAGTTCCAAAGCAGGAGCTATCTCGAAACGGGACCAACACCACAACACAGAATAGGAAAAGCACCACCTTCCTCATCAAAACGAACGGCACTTTTCTCCCTCTTTAACCCACCTATAAAAAATGGCCATCTTGAATTCTCGATGAGATTCATGTTGGTGGCGTCTTGGCTTGAGCGGATGTAACCCTGACAAGTTCCGGAAAGAGCTCTCTGCCTTATCTACGTATGCTCCACATTTATTGCTTTACGGTACTGCGTGGTTCAGCCCATCCCGTACGATGCTGCGTTCGGCATGCCGTGCCTTCGGGTACATTGCCGAATTCGAGATTTTGAAAACAACTTCATCACGTTACTTACACTCTCCCCTAGTAGTATCTCCTAGTCGGTACGAGCGATCATGCAGTCAGGAATTAGCACTTCATAAACTTTCAAACAAAAACTCACTCAAAATAACCAGGCACCTCACTTACTCGATTTTGGGTAGCTTCGTACCAATCAGAGAGAGCTAGCTATCTTGCCATTCGGGATTTCTCCAGAATACGCAAATAAATCAAAAATAAAGATCGGTACTATGGTAACCCTAAGATCCTAGTTTTGGATGGTCAATTTATTATAACCGCCACAGCATAGATCTGAAAAGTCCAGATATGGTAGTGGCAAACTTGTTAGTCTATGCTACAATGCGCTTTTTTTGTAGCTCTGTAAGGCGTGGGATAAGCGACATAGCGAGTGTACAACGAGGCTTGTATTAGAGGTTGTGAGTACTATACAACTATTTATATATACATATAAACCGTGATTCTCCAGGCCTGTCCTTACTTGATATTATTGTCTATTTGTTTCTGTTTATTATAAATAGCTAACCTAGCGGTATCATTATTTATAGTTGACTTTATAGCCTCTTTTCTACTATCTTGGTTAGAACAGTTAGAGTTACTAGTACATTAGCTATTAGTTAATAGCGGAGTAATGTTTAGGAAGTACTTTCTTGTCTTAGTCAGATAGGGCTTTCGTAGGGCTATTTAGGGGATGTAATTCGATTATAGACAGACTCTTGTTATTAATATAAACAATAGGTAATTCAGTAGTAAGAATTGATCAAATAATACTATGGTGACAACGGTACATAAGAATTGACCAAGTATCAGTAGTATCGACCACTAAGTTAAATATTATTGTTACAATACCACAAATCGCGTAGTGTTATAACGCGGTCCGATCATTCCTTGCGACCGTAAGCGAGAACCCACCTCCATGGCTCTGGAAGAACCTAGACCCAGCATGAAAGATCTTGCGAGCACCAAGGTGCTGAGAAACATAATGTCCAACTCCTAGGGGCTACCAACCTCAAGGTCCTATGCTCCACTTTCCCAGTCTCGTCAACACAGGGGATCTAAGTAGCTAGCACAGACTGTGATATAATTCCCAGGAAAGCAGAAAACCAACGAATGCCAAGGTTACCCAACACAAGAATTTTGTTTCCTGCTTCTGCGTTATATGTCATGGAAGTTTGAAAGATAAGGCATTGGAGGCAATATGAGTGGTGGTATTTTATTTGGAGTTCGCGGAGAATTTATGCCATGGGGATTCCAAAAATTGATATTTGTGTCCAGAAGCGCCTTTTACTAGCAATTACTCGCGTACTCTAGCCAAGTTGTCAGAACGTCGATTCTTAATTCTTTACACTGCACTTGCTCTGTTCAAGATACTTATCAATCTCTCATTTGAATCTCTCTATAAAATCATGAACGATGACAGACAATTGATCATCACAGATACTAATAAATCCCCGTTAGTCCAGATCATTGTCTGGATTCTTCTATCAACGTCCGTTTTGACCGTCCTTGTCCGAATTGCGACTAAAACACTCTACGTCCGGAAGATTGGAGCAGACGATATTTTGATTCTAGTAGCAGTGGTGTGTTTATTTGCCTTCTTTGGAGAACATCAAAACCGTTGCTAACAGCTGCGTAGACTCTGGCTATAGGACAGTCCACCGCTGTGCTGATCTCTACAAATAATGGGTTTGGGCAGCAGAGCAATACGCTCCATGACTCTCAAATCGAAGCATTAACTAAGGTATTTATCCATCCACCAAAGACTATTCTCGTTACAGTACAAGTCTAAAGTTGCTTAGTCCCAATATGCGGGCAATATACTGGACACAGCCGTGTTATCTCTCATCAAGCTATCAGTGCTTTCTTTCATCAAATCCTTGACAGCTGTTCGCCTTCATCGCCATTTAGCGACGGGGCTACAGGTCGTCATAACTATTTGGGCCGTGTCTGCTGAATTTGCCATCGCTTTCCTCTGCGGTGTCCCAGCTCCCTGGAACTACTTCCATAGACCTTCCAGCTGTCTCGATCACCGACTCATATTTTGGACATACCACGGAGCAATGAACATCGTCACAGAGACAGGGCAAATATTACTCATTCTTGGAATCATTTCCCATCTCCACGTACCTCGAAAACGAAGGATTAACCTCTGCTTAATCTTTGGAGCACGAATCTTGTGGGCTCCATAATCAAACATGCAAGCTCCTGCTTTCCACTGACACATTTTCAGCGTTATTGCCATGATAGTAACCCAACTTGTATTCCTACACCAAGCTTCGTCCTCTGAAGATTTAGCATTCGATCTCTGGCCGTATGTTACATGCACACAAGGAGTACAGTGTGTGAGTTTTTTCACGGCCTGTATACCTTATCTAAAGCCATTCCTGAAAAGCCTGGAGTCCGGGCTCCTGAGGGTTGACGACCTCCATGGTTTTGGAACAACAGCAGGCGTTGGTCGAGTGGGAGGAAGCACAAAACGCTCCAAGGGGAAGTTTTCGTTAACTGTTGAAGAACCTGTGCCGAATTCTACGTTGGAGCTAGATGCACTTCGGACCTCTCAGTTACAACCTTACCCAAGGATTACCGCGGCTCGAGAAGAAAATCCTTCGTGGGATCGTCGAAGTCAAACGAGTCAGTCGAGAATAATAATGGAGAGAAGAAGCTGGGAAGTGAGCGTTGGAACAATTGGTGCATAATTTGATAGGTGACAGTTTGCTTGGCTTGTAGAATATGTTATATATAGAAACTGTGTATTTGCGTTTGAACTTCGGGCACTGGATCGTACTGCTGTAATCTTTGGACCATTACCTATCCAGGTAAATCTTGCGCGGTAGAGACTGGCTTGTGGAGTAACTCGTAGCGGATGGTTGTTCGTTCACTTGAATCACTTCTCAAAGTGACTTAATTCATGTATCGTATTATCGCATACGCAACAGAGCAGTCAGAGTACTAATAGTAAACAGAATATATGAGCATAATTGAAAATATTGCCCTAGCGGTTTTGGTTACAATAGCATCTTCCGAGTTGAGTTGAGTAGGTGCTTCTGCTCAACTCATCTCATTTCCCACGCTGATCGTAAGTCGGCAACATCTGTTGTATATTATAAGCAATACTAGATGACATTTAACAGTAAAGTGAGTAGAAACGATAATGTTTTGCTCAAAGAGTATTCCTTAGAGAAAAACTCCCTCTTCTTCTCTAGATAAATCCCACCAATAATCCCAAGAGGCAAGAGAAACCCCATGATATCAAATGATATCCAGCAAGTGATTCCAGACCCGGGAATGAGAACCTTCCATCTTGAATCTGAGAATTGCAAAGCGGTGTCGAAGGTGGAGATCCCACTACAGTAGTTCAAGACTTACTACTGGTAGATACAGTACAGTATAAACTAGTCAACCAGCTCCACGTGCAGCGATTCAACCAACATCAGCCCAACACACCCAACCCAAGATCCAGTCCCTTTCCCAAAATCACATATATAATTCCTTTTGCCGGCTCCCTCATCCACATCACTCCATCCCTCATACATTCCCACAATCCCCACATCTCAGGCACAATATATCAAAATCATTCAGCTACATCCCATCCCATCCCATCCTATCCAATCCACACATCTCAAAACGACCATGTCCTTCACCCTCTCAGAAGTTAATCCCGAAACCTACTTTCTAGACCTCATCACCTGCGAATGGGAATCCTACGGATTCCCTCTCCAAACCTTTTTCCGCCTCTTCTGTCCCATCCGCGGCACGGGTCCCCACGCCCGCGAGGAGTCTCTCGCAGAATGCACCGCGCGTCAACGCGAATGGCACGTCTCCGACCCCTCAAGCTACTGGCAGAAAGTCACCGATTCGAGCACGGGAAAGATCATCGGTGGGGCGTTGTGGGGAATTTGTCCTACGAACCCTTTTGAGAAGACGGAACATGAAGATGCGTAGGTCCACACTTCTTTCTGAACAATAGATAAGCAGTACTTGCTGTAGCTCTCTGTTTTCCAAGAATGGTGGTTCAGATTCAAGGGCGAAATATGAGCTAAACTTCGTGTTTCAAGGTACTGGTTCCCAGAAGGGGGAGAGCGCGAATTCGTCAACGAAGCTTTAGAAAGATTTGAAACCCCGAGAGCGACGATGGGACAGAGGCCTCAAGTTTGTAAGACGCCCTCGCGACCATTATTATGAATCGTTCAACTAATCATCGAGTTCGCTGGTAATACAGACCTTAACATCATTTTCATCCAGTAAGTCAGATAACTTCTTTCGCAATTCCAAACCTGTCGAGTCAATTCCAATTATAAGAAGAACCCATACATCTCATCTCATATCATCTCCCACCTATTCCCACCTCTCAACTCCCATCCCCATTCCCAAACTCGCCTCTCCCCTCTAACTCCCCACAGTCCCGCCTACAGACGCCTCGGAGCCGCCAACCTAATCTTGGACTGGGGCATCAAAAAGGCGCAAGAGATGGGCGTCGAAATGTGGCTCGACGCAACCATCTACGGGATCCCGCTCTACAAAAAAGCACGGCTTCGTCGTGGTCAAGGAGAACTCGTTGGATCCGCGGAAAGAAGATCCAGATGCGGATTGGAAGAGACTTGAGCAGGAACTTACCCCGATGACGATGTGGCCGATGTGGAGACCGGCGAGTGGTTCGTTTGAAGAGGGGAAGAGTGTGTTTCCGTGGGCGGAAGCGTAGGATGGGCTCGGATGGGATGGAGGTAGATGGGGTTGGGAATTGGAGCGCACCGGCCACTGTATAGTATACTTCGTAGTATGTACGATAATCGCTAATTTTATGTCGTATACTGTAACGACTTCAGTTACAACAGTTGCAAATCAATTGCAAATCACTTCTTAATACAAGTCCGAGAGTTTCGGCGTACAGATACTCGTACGATTATACTTCGTAGGAAGTACGAAGTAAGACTTTATATAGACGTTGAGACAACCACCAGGACCCAAACTCCTTGGCCCGTAAAGTGGGCTCAAGGTGGGTATCGCGACGCCAAAAATCGACATTTAAATACAGTATGCGGTGACGAGGGGATACCACTGGAATATTTCGCGAATTCTGAGGTCTGATCAAGATACCAAAATAAATGTAAAGCTGACCTCCCTCGTACTTTACCGATGCGTCACTTTTCAAATGACTCTACCCAGACCCAGGTGGCAATAATAACGATGGTATACCAGGAGATTTGCCGAGAGGAGAATAACAATTGTATGGAATAATATTCAATGGAACAACAGAATATTCAATATATTCGATTTGAAACACTGAGCCAATAGGAACAGGTGTATGAAGGCTTTAAATAGAACTTCAACATATCTTTATTGGCCAAAAACAAACCAGTTAGTAGTATCGCGATAAACATATATGGTGCACTCTGCGTCCAGGTTCGAAAATAACATGTAAAGGGTCTGGACAGCTCGGGTCTCCCCCTCCTTGTCACTTTCTGATATACCTCCACATAAATCGGACAATTCAATTGGCTTAGAGGGCTATATTGTGGGGTTATACCCTGCCTATAACAAGTCGTATACAGGGGAGGGTGAGACGCGAGCTGTCCAGGCCCTTTATGCGCCAAATAGCCCAGAGGTTAGCATATTTATACGTACATGTGAGCGTCAACTTCTTCCCAGGAACCACTTCGCTCCAATTATTGGTACCATAACTTAGAGAAGTACTACAAACTATCTCACGATGTCAATGTATAATTTAGCTCATCCACGTATGTAACCGCAGAATACACTTGTGAGCCAAATTCGTTCAATTGCAAAGAGTGTTGCAATTGAACACTGACCGGTAGAACAGTTTCATTCATCTCCCTGTAGGCTTCACAAGGGTTCTTTATGTATGTGATTTCGTGTCCATCGTTTACCTTTTGCTTCCAGGACTCGACGATCCCATCGACTTAATATCGGGCACAATCATGACATCCATATGACTATATCATAGCGCAATTCGATTGTATTTTGAATCGTTCAATCTAGTTGAGAGCACATCACTTCACATATAGATGCAACCAAAAACAAAACTATTACATAAAGTTTTCAGATTCTTGTTGCCGCTTTCCCAACTCCGCCTTATTACATAGCTAAATTTCCCCCAAAAAAAACCATACAAGATGCAGGGAACGCCCCGAGAAAATACAAATTCGCTTTTTTGGAGTCTGAACTCCGTCCTCATTGATAATCCGAGTGCCGAATGCCCAAGCAAACCACAAAATTGGACACATAGAAAGACTCATATGAACACCAACATATCCACCGCTCCTCTTGCTCCTCTCGCGTAGACTTCGGACACTAGCGACCACGCGGCTCGAAAGTTTCTCGAAGCGCAAGCCGATTTGCGGTGACGTGAATTAGGGATGCGCTGGCTATGGAAGTTTGCCTTTGTAGAGGTCGATTTCCAGAGCATGGGGAGGATTTCAAGCTACCAGGTTAAATGCCCACATCAACCTATTGATTTCCGTTCACCTTTTGCTTTTGCTTTGGCTCCTTCTTTGGCTTTGGCGCTTTCGGTTGCTTTTGCTTTCTTACACCACCAAGGGCATGTGGTAGGGTGAAGTAAGTGTGTTGACTGGCAGTTGACTTGCCAAGTTTGCCAAGTATATTTCCTCCGATAAATTCTGCAACGCCTGCTCTCTTGTCCATCTTTTGCTTTGGCTGTGCAACTGGCCAGTTCCATGGCGCTGAAGAAACTGGCTTTGGCTCTGGAACTGGTTTTGGCCCTGGAACTGGAACTGGTTTTGGCTTTGGGACCGACTTTGACATTGATATTGACTGTGGCTGTGGAGCAGTCATTGACGTTGAGTCTGACTTTGGATTGTCAAACGGAGAGTTTGACGCTTTGTCTGACTTTGGAGTGTCAAATGGAGAGTCTGGCACTTTCTCTGACATTGGGCTACCTGGCGCTGACTTTCGTCCCCCACAGCAGCCGCCTGGTACGTTTATTTGAAGCAGGGTTACATGAGCGTGAGTGTGTTTGTGTTTGGCGCCCTTGCCCATTACGGCAAGCATGTTGTCTGTGAGCATATCCGTCCCAAGGTTCAATCCCAATATTCTCTTGGTTAGGGATTTAGGATTGACATTGGCGTGCTTTGGACAATGGCATGCTTGCTGATTTGAAGGTGTCGCTTTCTTTATTGAAATAGGGGCTCCAGAAACAAGAGGTAGAAGAACAGCCACACTGGCCAAGAAGTTAAGAACCAACATAGTAAAATTTGATTGTATTGATGGGAAAAATGAATGAAGTGGTTGAGAAGTGTTTATGGCAAAAGAATGGATATAAAAATAAGATTGGTAATATCAATGACAGTATCGAAGAGAATGAATGAATTATAAACGAATGTGAAAAACGAATGTGAAATCAGAAGCTGTTACTAACTCTGTAGTTTGATAGTGGGACAGAGCTTCTTTCTTATAGGAAACGCATTACGAACCTCTGATCTAAAAAAAGCCTAAGATCAATTTATTATCTCCCGCCCGGGGGATTTTTCAGGTGGGTCAAGGACGTGCCAGCCTAGCACGTGCGAGCTGTCGTTTACGGAGTAAAGAGGGCGGACACACCGGACTATCCACCCCAAATGCGGAACGAATATAGGTGGGTATAATCCACTGGTTTTTAATAGAATTATACAACTTTTGTGCTGTTGCTAGGCGATTTCGAGCGATTTATGCAAAAGAAATTAGCCAAACTCGGTAAATATAATATAAAATAAGCAGTGGTATCTGCGTGAAAACCCTACCTATATTCGTTCCGTATTTAGGGTGGATAGTCCGATGTGTCCGCCCTCTTTAAGTGCATTTTGTGCCCAGATTTACGAACGCCCCGCTAGGTTTACTAAAAAGAGTCTCAACCAAGAGGTTAAGGAATAGGTAAGAAAACGCTTGAAATATCTCGAAAATGAAGTTTAAGTCTTGTTCTCAAAAATAAAAATTGAAACTTGTTCTAAAGCAGTTGCTTGTTCTATAGTTGTCCTAATGATTTTATGTAAAATATCGTGTCACGTGAGAGATCATGCTCTTCCTCCGCCCACCTAAATTAGGTGTATTCTGATAGCTTGTCATTGCTAAGCGGTTAGAGTGGAGCTCAATTTGTACATTTCTTAGTATTCTACACAAGGGTGCTCGTTCCCTGTCAAAAAATCCCCCAGGCGGTTTAGGAGATAGCTTGTTGGGTCAATGCATATGTCATGTGTAACAAGAAAAGTTTACTATGAAAGCTGTTTCTGGTTAGGTTCGCCAAACAAATAGGTGGTCTTCGCCATTATCCGTTAACCTTACCTACACAAAGTGGGACCTGGTAGGACTGCTGTGGTAAATCTTACTTAACAAAAATGGGTGAGTGTGGTAAGGGGGGGGTTGGTGGATATGTCCTGTATGCTCCGAGCCACTTAGAGTGGCTAGTAGTTTGCGGCGAAGGCCTTCTTTTTAGGTGTAGAAGATCATAGTTACCCTTCTACCTAGGGACCCATAGAAAGCTAGTCTCTGAGTGGCTTAAAGAGGGATCTCCCAACTTCTGCTACCCTTTAACAAGCATATGAGACATATCCACCGCCTGATCCACCTATTTTTGTTAAGGACGATTTACCACGGTACGGCAATAAAGTCAAGGCTTGTTTATTGTTTATTAAAATTCTCCAACCCAAACAAAAGTTAGGTTTACATAGCATGTTTAGTGGAGTACAGGGTCACAGCCCTCGTAAACTCAACTCTTGCTACGCCTAGAAGGGACGAAGTAATCTTGCACACTGTTTCGCTACTATTGGGGAACATTGCTTATACTCCGTACAATCAACAGCAGATTTGACATGGTTTTATCTCAATACTAACTTTGAGGGCTTTCATTCCTTTATATGGCTCCATGATATTACGGTAACTTGAATTTGTCTTACTTTAGCAGAGGTAGAATTATTAGAATTGGGACGATATATAAAACCATTTACATAATGTAAGTACCTCTTACAAATCTTGACTATAGAGAACGTTAAACATCGCGATATGATACTCCATGTTTACCCTAGTTTGGAACTTTCCTACCTTGAAAGTACCTGCGTCTGATGATTTCCGTAGGACCCGCTATCCCATACCCTCTCTATCTGGAGCCCCGCAATTTGTATGTGCAACATTTTACCTATTATGCTGAAACCGCGGAGTAATCGACCCGAGATCGCCATTACAGTTAGACTTCTAGGATCACTACTTCGATAAAAGTCCTAGGTTCAACAAAGGCAAGAGCCTGCGTTAAGCGAGTGAGAGAACAAAGCTGATTCATTCGTCGATATTTGTTACTGACAATCTTTTTTTAGGTCGATCAAATTTGATATCAAGCTTCCTTGGGAATCCGTCGAAGACTTGAGCCGAGAATCTTGAGCTAAATTCTCTCGTAAAACACAAGGTCGCCAAGAGTAGAGATCTACCGGCGGTACCGCCTTGAAACTTAGCTCGTGAGCTAGGTTCGCCAAGCATATGGTTTTGTGAATTCAGCACGTTTTTGATATCAAGTCCCGCGACGAAACGGAGGAGCAAGTCTTAATTGCAGTCTCGCCAATGTGAAGAGGGAGCAGGAGGTTCTGGAAATCTCCGTTAGGAGAACGGTAGGTAAGGTAGAAGTACTTCGTAGAAAGATTTCGATTGGTTGAGAGCATTCCGGAACCTTTTATTGGCTAAGCCAGAAGAAGCTTTCACAACCCAAGTCACTTTCTGTACGACAATTGCCCACGAACACCCGACAAAACGATGTTCTGTCCTCTTGTACTTCCATATCCTTCTACTGAAACTCTCTTTCCATGATCTGCCGGTTCTACCTCGACTGGTTCCCCGAGAGCCGGCTGTAGTCGGAGAGGGCCTAGAAGTCGCAAGTGAAACTAGAGGAGCTCCCAAGGTCAGAGCTGTAGGGCGAGAAGTAAGGCCTCTTCCACTTCTCTCCGTTCCCTTTGTACTGCTCCCGGTACTAGTTTTTAATTACGGCACTTCTTTAATACTTTCCGAAGCCGTAAACTCTATTATAATATTCTTTACTAGCTTTTTCTATATAACCTTACTAACTAAACTACTAAAGTCTATTCTATAAATAGATTGCTCTAGCTCTATAATATTAGCTACTTAAATAAAAAGTACTTCACTTTCCTTTTATTGAACCTATTATTTAATAGTCTAGTAAGCTACCTATTTTTAAATCGAAAATGTTTTTCTCTTTTCTCTATCCCTTCTAAACCACAGAGTGGCGAAAAAAACGTGTACACGGTCCAAATGCAGGTCCAAATACAAGTCCAAATGCAATCCCAAAATGAGTGTTTAGCCGGTTTCATCGTGTACCGGCATCCATGCATAAGTATCCATACTAATTCCAAAGCAATGCGATGTATCCTGCCCAAATCCAATGTGTCTATCCCAAAACAAATGAAAAAGGTCGGTTCCATGCCTCGTACTTCCTTCTAAACAAGTACGAAGCGAGTCTATTCCTCCACGTCATTCCAAGACCTCCGTATTTGTTCCTCCGGGGTCAAAGTGGTGAAAATCGAGGCCTTTTCTATCCGAATATCGTACTTGATTATGTTCGTTCTTATATTCGCTTAAGAGAAAGGGAGGCGATTCGTACTTTGATAGTTAGTTCGAAATAGGGAAGTGTCGAGAAGTAAGAAGAGCTTTGGCCGGGTATTTTGCTTCGAGGCTAGTGGGAGGTTCCGAAGAGTTATACGTTTCACAAGGTAAAAGTCGGCTATACTAGCTTAACTTATTTCTTCCTTCGTAGACCTCGCTGAATTTCAGGGGCTCGTACCGCTCGCGCGGCCTGTTTAGCTTACTCTTCTACCTATTCTTATACTAAGTTATTATAACACCTTTTAATATAATAATTCAATCTATTAAGTTTAACTTATTTCTAATTATTCTAAGGGTTCGGGATTAACTATATCTTATCTCATAGGTTATAACGAAGTTAAAATATAAATTACTTATATTATATCTATATTATCTTCCCTTATACTTTAGCTCTCTTACATTATAACTAAAAGACCTTATTTATTATATTAAATTAAGTTACTATAATAGAGGATTAGAGGTATCTACTAGCTCGCGGGGGTATAAGTAAAGGCTATTCGCGAGTATAGAAATAAGTTAGCTTTCTAAAGTACTTATCGAAGAAATTCAATAGAATAAGTGTAACCGTGTGGAGTGAACCACTGCTTGCTGTGATGAATACGGAGTCAAACGGAAACTGCTGTATTGAGCGAACAACTAAGTGAGGAGGAGAGAAAAGAGTTCCAGAGGAACGGAAGCTTAAATACAGGATGCCAGCGGCACGCACGTGCCGTGCTACACGTGACCAGACCCCAGTCCCTCCAACTCCGTAACAATAAGAAAGTATAATTCTTGAATCTTCTATTAAGTTAAAATTTTATACAATAGTACTTAAGTATCGACGTTATAATAATAATATAAAATAATTAAAAGAACTAGTTGTCACAAATCACGTGCTCACGTGATACTTGTCATAATAAAGAGGCGCAACCCTCGACAGGCACATCCAGGTTTCTTATAGCAAATAGGGAATGCTTAGGCCAGCTAAGCGATCCATGGATTTCCTTTAGTTACTATCACGTGATTGATGGGCATCAGAGGTGGTCGGACTGACGACCTCTGAGGAATCGGAATCGATCAGGGCGATGAGCACTGATCCGCGAGAACGAAGGTTCTATATAATACTGGCACGTCTGCCATTAGATAGGAGCTTCGTGCTCAACTTAGTTATCAATCTTATCATATTAGTTTGACATCTTTGATACAAGTAACGAGTTCACTTCCAAGTGAACAACCCGATAGTCTTCTTCTTATCATAGCATACCAACCAGCGAACACCCAGCCAAGTTTAGTTAGCCAGTTTGAGTATTCGTTACACTAGTATAATTCTTAAATCTCTAGTAATACTAACTAGCTACGATTGTCACGGATGCCAACAAAGGATAAAGTGTATACAGCTTTTGAATCAATTGCTAGAACTAAAACCGTAGGTACGAAGAAATCAAACTAAAGAGAGAAGAGAATCTGAAAGGAGCGAAGTTATTTAAGTTGTTCCAATGCCAAGTCTCGTCACGTGCTTGGCCAAGCGAATGAAATCCTGTCAAATGAAATCCAGCTCCGTCACAACGATAGTATTACGTAATAGTACTTAAGTATTAACTTAACGCTATAAGTTAATATTAGTAGGCTTA